GGGGGGGGGGGTTAGGAAGACGTTTGAGAACCGAGGTTTGACCGTACCAAAGGATTAGGAAGATATCCATCCACATAGTTTTCTGAATTAGGTCTCATTAAAAGGAATAAAACACAGAACAATAATAAATAAATAATACATACATACATAAATTAGGTCTCATTAGCATGAATTTAATCAATTGTGGTATGTGTTGCAAATTTCTAGAATAGAGGTAACAATAATGCAAATACTAAATTTCAGTTTTAAGCTATATTTAATTTGGAAGAAGAGAGGGCATATTTTAAAATTTATGCAAATAAAGAGAAATAGAGAAAATGGATGTAATAATCTTTAACAAAATAATATCATAAAGGAAGGGCGAACACAAGTGATTTTGAACCCAGAATAGAAAATGCCATTCTCTGTTCTCCCCAAAAGGCAACAATATTACATTTCCTAATTTTATAGCTGACAAATAGCATTACATTCTTGTAATGTATTTTGATCAAGATAATGAAAAAGCTTGCTTGCCATACCTTTCCTGCCCAGGCTGCTGGGAATAAATGAGGAGTAAAGTAACTGATAGTTATCAAGTTGAAAGAACTTGACAACAACTTGAAAAAAATACCAAAAGGAATTAGGAAGATCACATGCAACTTGCTGTATTATAGATTTTATAACTAAGTGCCTCAAGCCAAACGGCAGGTTTCTTTCATTCTCGTGGTTTAAGCATTTGACTCATACCCAGCGTGAAAGAAAGTTTACCTTTTTATCCCCTGAAACGTGCTGCTAGCCATGTCTATGATGCCTCCAGTTGGTCTTGCCACTGCTCCAACTAAGCCTTTCCCGACACCTTTAAAGAAACCGCTTGCTCCTTCTTTTTGAGCTCCTACAAATAAAAAAGACAAAGTCTTACACAATTAGATTAAGAATGAAAATGGAATCAACTTGTGAAAGACTTGGTAATATATATCACCCAAAGAAACTATTATACTTGCCTTTGATTGGTTTTGTAACAATTCCTGTTATGCCACTTACAAAACCCTAAAAGGAAAGCACAATTGAAAATTTATAATACTTTTACACAATGCCTTGACAGACCAAGTCCGGTTTATAAAAAAAAATTACAAAAAAATACAGAGTTGTGCTTTCTAGATACCATAAGAATTAACATATTTCCTAAGCATTTTATTTAAACAAAATACTTTTGGAGGTTCCCGACATATTTCATATAGGCCACAAACCACTGCTCCTCCAACATCCAAATAATACTTGAAGGAGTGAAAGTTATATATCTATTTCCTTATTCACAGAACGTGGCTTTAAAAGATATTTCCTATGATGTTCACAACACTGGGAAACGTCTTACAGAAACTAAGCCTTTTCCTCCACGAGTGATGCCTTCTCTGAGGCCAGCTGGTTGCTTATTCATGGCCTCTCTCCTCTTCTGCTGGTAGTCTTCATCCATAGTTATAGCTGCCACACCTTTAGCCATAGCACTGGTGATTCTGGAGGCAGCACCAGCTAATCCACCTAGCAGAAACGATCCTATCTTTAGTAAAAGCAAATATATCACTTACTTTCTAGCATAATCATACTTGGGAGGCATTCTGTTTCTTACCAACAGCTCCTCCAACTAATGCCTTCAGTCCTAGTGCCATTCCCTCCACAAACTCTTCAGGACCCTGAATGGCTCCCTAAAAGGTCAAAAATAATAACAACAAATAAGGTTATGTTTACTTTTAAAGGTGAACTAACTGATATGAGGAAAACAGTAGCGACAAAAAGAATAAAGATGTCCCCGAGAAAGCGACACCAGCAGAAAACTTCACATTAACAGAACTCCCAGAGGTGTTTCGACATTGCAAGTCAAAAGGATTAAATGTTGCAAGTTAATCCAAACTTAGAAAGGTAACTGACTATATTCATCAAAGAGTACAAAAGATGTTTGCTCTGTACTGTAAGCTATATGATGAGAAGGTGAACACAGACTACTCAATATTTTTTAACAAAATAAATAAAAACACTCTAATTCTTAATATATCTAATCTTTTAAATTACATTGTACAAAATAAATATGAGTTTTGCTATATTTTTCATTATCACTTATTCTTATAAATGTGAAAGTAGTAGAGTTTTGAACATTCTGACAGCAATTTTTAAAGGACATGGAAAAAAATCATAATTTTTGCCATTAATGAGGATTGCTTTGCACAGGTGCCAACTTGCAGGGTTATTTTTACTGTCCCATACTACTGTGCATAGCAGGACTGCCTGTCCATGAAACTCTTCCTTCTACTATAGTGCAAAGTTTATCCACCTTTAATATTCTAACAGAACACTTAAAATTCAGTGTATTTTTGTAAAGTCTTAAGTTTAAAATTTGAGAGGAAAGGTAAAAATTTCCTCTCAAATTTCTCAAAAGCTCTTACCATTGTTTGCTGCAAAATAATGTCCCTTTGCAGTGCCTCCCAAAATCTATTTACACCTACAACTCCAGTTAACAATCAGAATGCATTATTCTTCCAAAAGCATTAGTGTGATACATTGTACAATGCAAAAATAACTATTTTACCTGGTAAGGTTCATAGAAAAATGCTTCTACGCCTTCAGAAAATTCTCTAATCAAGCCAAAGGGATTTCCCAAAACTTCAAGTCCAAGAATGAGTACATACATCTGCTTAATGGCCTAAAAATATGAACATTAATCAATGTGGATAATAAGACTTAGTATTTTTTCTTGTATTTAGTGCACATATCCAATTTTTCAGGCTAACACCCTTATCATCAATTTCATCACTTAAACCATCTATCATCTTATTCATAACTAGTCATAGTTTTTAAAAAGCAATTCAGTGATAAGAGTACTAGAAATAATATGAAATATTTACATAATGCTTTAGAATATTCAAAATACTTTTAGTACTATGTGTGACAGTTGTTAATCACTTTATAGACACTAAAGAAACATACAGGCCAAATGATGTCAGGGCGATGCAGGGGTTAAATGCCAAAACTAGTATCCAAACCCAGACCTCTTGAGTCATGCTCAGTGATATGTCCACTATTCAACAGCTGTCTCAGATGCTCTATAAGTCATGTCAAAATACTGAAGTCTTTCCAAAGGCAGAAAAAAATCCACTGAAATAATATATCTAGCAGCCTCAACAATTCAATTACATAAAAATGCCCTGTGTTCATCAGTTAGCTACTAATAGTTTCCCTTGAACCTATTTTTTTAAGTAAGTGTGGTGAATTACTTAATATTTTATTTAAAGGTTTATGTCTAGTCCATGCTGATCCAGAAAAGATTTTGGTACCTGGCTAAAAATTAGAAGGACAGAAAATTGAAATAGTCATTAGTCTCAATGTCTTTCTACAATTCTTTTTTATTTTTACTTATTGATTTGAGAGAAAGGCAGAGGCACAGAGACAGAGAGAGAGAAACATCAATTTGTTGTTCCACTTATTTATGCATTCATTGGTTGATTCTTGTAGGTGCCCCGACTGGGGATCAAACCCACAACCTTGGTGTATTGGGATGAAGCTCTAATCAACTGAACAACCCAGCCAGAGCCTCTTTCTACAATTCTGAAAATAAAACACATGTTTTAAAATTTTGAAAATGGCTATTAACTTCCTTGCCAAATCTACATCATATTATGTACAGACACACGCAGTTTCAATATTTTATATCACTCTGCCCCTTTGTAAAATAATCTCAGACAAACCTGTTTTGAATAGTGTCTTACTACTTCAGACTGCAGTTCAGATGTTGTATGAAACTGATAGTTGAGTTCAAAAAATGCAAGCCTGGAAAAAAAAAACATATAAATGTACAAATGTGTGTGTATGTGTGTGTGTGTATGTGAAGGAAGGGAGAGAGGGAAGGAGGGAGGGAGGAAGGAAGAGAGAAATATCAATGTGAGAGAGACACATCAACTGGTTGCCTCCCGCACACGTCCCACCTGGCGCCAGGGATCGAACCTGCAACCCAGGTATGTGCC